AGAAAACTCTAATTTGATGTAAGCGCACCCTTTTAACCAATATGTATGTGCTACGACATGTCGCAACTTGCAATTAAGTAAAAATATGTTGTCGATATCTTATATCGTGTTTGAAAAGTGGTGAAAATAAGCCAAAATCCAAATTTAGAAATGACCTTGACCTTTGACCTTGATCCTATTTTCTTTTTTTGGACCAAGGACCTCAAATCAAAAGACTCTAGGTCTCTATCACTTACGGTTTACCAATTACAATTACATTTTACTTATTCCAAATACAGAAGGGGGAATAACTCTCATATGGAGTTTCCGGACCGCTTCGGTCAAAATTATTTTCAAGATCCTGAGGATGTAACGAGCAAATTGGTGAAATAATTTTGTCGTAATCTTTAACGGTTGCGAAGGAGATTTGTACACAAGAAAAACAGTGTTTGGGGAGATAACTCTTACAATAAAAAGTGTTCGGCTTAACAGGGTCAGTTTCAAAATCGTAATAACTGTTTGATATCATATGCAAAAAATCTAAGCAACATCTTGCGAAACAAAAAAGCACCGTCAGAAAAAAGTGGCGGAAGAAGAAAAAAATAATAATAATAATCAGAACAAAACCAATAGGTCTTTCTACAGAAAAGTGGAAAGACCTAATAATCAGAACAAATACTATAGGTCTTTCCACAGAAAAGTGCAAAGACCTTATAAACGAAAAGACAAACAACAGTACACAAAATACAACATAGAAAACTAAAGGCTGAATAACATCAACCCACCAAGGGACTTCCAGTTTTGAATTTTCCTTGGAGGTCGGTTTTGTTTTTATTTTACTTTTCAAAACCGGTATACATATATTACGTTATAAATCATCAATCGCCAATTGGTTGTTCTGTAGAAGGTGTAATCAGGATGCATAAAGTGTAAATGTTTTATATATCAAACCATAAATTTGTAAGCTTTAGCGCGCTATAAAACCAGGTTAACCATGATTTTTCTCAGGAAAATGCCTGTACTTAGATAGATTGCTTTATTTGCATATGAACAACCGAGTCGAAAAACGCGCCTTGCGAACAACGATAAAGCGTGGCATTTTTAAAAACTTTTTCAGCATGGCAGATAAAAAATACCTTATAACATCTTTGAACAACTTAATTTAACATCAAGGAACTCGTGTTGTCAATAAAAGATTCCTGACATAAGAAAATACTGTGGTAAAAAGATAAGAAATATACAAATACAAACCAGAACACATAACAAAATATTCTGTAATCTCGGTTGGTTTGATTGATAAGTTGTTGTTTGTAATAATTTCAGTGACAACTATTCCATGCATGTTCATGATGCTTACAAATTCACAATTAATACAATAGGTAGGCACTCCAATAGGGGTCGACCGGAATGAAGGGCGGAAAATTTGGAATGTCTCTGGAAAAAGAAGGTTATATTGGATAGGGACAGAACTTTAGTCTTCTAACATAGTGCCTACGGACCACCCAAGGAATTGTTGTTTGTCATGTAACGTACAGTGGAACTCTCTCTCAGGCATCGTATTGAACGTTCTCATTCTTAATGAACGCAGCTGCGAATTTAACATCCTTTAACGGACGCCTGTGTTTGAGTTTTGAATTTTCCTTGGAATTCGGTACTTTTGTAATTGTACTTTTTTTTATTCCTATTGCAATGCATGCCTTTATATTGTTGATATTTTCATATCTATGTTTGATATATTTGAATGTCCCTTTTATACTATTCGCCTCTCTTTTTTGTTATTTGCATTCAAATATCTAAAATGCATATTTTGATCGCCAGTTAATAAATTTCAAAAATATCATTTAGTTTAAATAGGTCCATGTACTTTTACAAAGCTTACGAACGCAAAAATACTGTGCATTTTACATTTGAGAGAGAAAAAGTTTTTTGAGGGTATGAGTTGTTAAAAATGATTAAGAAATAAACTGAACGGGTGTGATAAGACAACCACAGACGGAAAGAGGGTTTAGGTGAAAATTTAATCTCTTACATCGAAAGAGTTGTATTAATTTTAAAGAAGTTATTAAGGAAATAAAAAAAAACTTTGAAAGTCATCGGATCACTTCATAAGCACCCGTGATTGCACATGAAGATATCATTATTGAAACTGTACACAGGATTAGCCAAGAGAAGGGCAAACTTTTTATCTGACTATCTATAATATCTAACCAAGATAACAAAGAAAATGTATCCTTCTTACAGATTGCTTAATATATGTTTCCCTACTTGGGCAATCAAATCTAAGATGTCATTCATTTTTTAAAAAAACTTTTAGTCCTTTCTGAAGATATGGTTTAACCATTTGGAATGAAATGCCGCGAAACTATCATTTGGTTATCAAAACATGTAATATAATCGAACTAAGAAAGTATCTGTATCTTTATAATGGTATAAGTTTCTTAATTCTATTAAGGGGTTTATGATTAGTTGTAGATGCTAAACTGGTAAACCTTGATAATGCAATGGCAACGTTATTTATTTCCCAAGGAAAACCCAAAAATACATTTTGGTCTAAAACAACTATAGAAATGCCCAGTTCTTATTTTTTCTATGTTGCAGATTTCTTAAAACTTTCAACGAATTATAATAATGTTTATAGGATTAATTCCAAATTCACAACATGGAAGAACAAATAGGCTAACGAATTGTTTTGCTTGGGTTCGTCTTTCTCAACCATAGGTTTTTATCGAGTGTATTGTATGTAAACTATTGTTTGTTTTTTTTTTTTTTTTTTTTTTTATTTTAGTTTTAAGATACATGTAGTTGTGTTAATTGGGTATACTATTCTTAATTAAACAATATCATGAAGAGCGCGTATAAGGAAATGCCTGTACCAAGTTCGGAATATGACATTTTTTTTCCATTTGTTTGATGTGTTTGAGCTTTTGGTTATGCGGTCCAAATTCCCACAGGTAAAGTTGACATGATTATTATTTCAGACCCTGTTTGATCATTTAGCTCTCCAAGTTTTAAGGTAGTAATACAATCTAGGCTTTCATTATTTTGATTTGTTATGTGCGTTTCTGTTGAAGGTAAATCAAGAAAAGCGCTTTTGACGCAACAATTTAAATCATAAACAAGTGGATTTTTTTTTCATTTTAGAAAAACTGTCTACGCAAACCTTTTCAAGAAGTATATATAATCTTGTTTAATAGTTCACTCATACTTCTTGTTATTTAGTTACATATGAATCTGCAGTATTACGAAAAAATGAGCAAATGCATATAATCTTTACAGTTTTATTTGAAAAAGTAAAAATCTACGGATGAGTGATGTCATGTTCAGATGTTGTGATGTACTCCTTGTATCTTTGTCTTTTCTTAATATCCTGTAAAACAAAAGTAATTCCAGTTTATTTGAAGATAGTAATAGAGAGCTGCTCAAAGAGTTGTTGATTCGAAATGGCGGTCGTTAGTCCCGATTAATTGATCGTTTCGAAATATGTATGAATTGAAAGTGATAATGCGTTCTAATAAGAATTACAAAGTATTATTTATTCTTCGTTTTTTTTTTGTGTGACTTCTTATGCATCTCTATTGATCAACATCGATTGTATTTTATTCTCGGAGTAACAGTATGATTTTTCCCACATGTAATTTGTTTTTTCCCAAATTGGACGATTCATCATCTGGCCTAACTTAAAATAAATATTACAACTAATTGTTAAACATAAATAAAGATAACCTGGCTGTTTATGTAAGATACATTCAAAGTAATAATCTGTAAAAAATAACTTATTACATTCCAATAGTATAGATATAAACGCATTCTTTAGATTTTGACTTTGTAAATCTAAAAGAAATTGCATTCTTTTGATTTTCTATCAATGAATATCTAGTTGTTTAAATGAAATATTGTAAAGAACAAATCGTTTACAATGTTGCCAAATTAGACAAGAAATACGCCATATTTAATTAAGCAAAATACAAAATTATTAAAAGAACAGATAATTTGTTCATTCAACATTATTGCCATACTCTACATATTATTCTTGGAAGGTTTAGTATAACTTTCTAACTTTAAATTTTTATTACTGTCAATTGTTTATAATCATGTATAATTAGTAACCTGAATGCATAATGATAACCTGTACATAGTAAATGACAGATGTAACTATTAAATTACTTGAGCGAGTGACATTGATATGTTGGTCATAGTTGTAAACTTTACAACCTTTGATTGATTAAAAAAAAAACCTACGTAGTTTATTTGTCTAATTTGAGTATTCTTTTATTCCCCCAGTTATATTTCCTTGTATCAAAATAGTATAAAAGAGAAATACTATGTTAGTATTATCTATCTGTTTTTGTCTTAGTTTCCATTCAAGTACATCCAAGAAAACAAAAACAAATGTAAGTTGTTTATAAGATTTATTTTTTCAAATCTAACTATAACTTCTATCTAATAAGATTTTAAATCTAATTTGAATTTGTTTTTGATCGAAAGAAAACTATCTGCTTTATTTCAATTGTATGAGTGTTTTACCGTAAAAATTATTTGATTGTCAATATTATAAAACTAAATCGTCGACTTTGCTATCAATATATTTTAATTTTATCTATTTTATAAATCTACTCTAACAACTACAACTTTTTAACGCGTTTTCTCAGATTAGTTTTGTCATGATAAAGTAGAAGATAAATATGCCAAGTATGAAAGATTTTGCATAGTTTTTAAAAAAAAATAAAATTTGACAACAGTTTTTGCATACTATTGTTTCCAATGCAGCCATTTTAATTTTATTTTTACATTTAGTATTGATCATGTTTCTTCGCCAGAATTCTTGACCATCTTAAGGAATTGTTTTTATCATTAATTAGTTGGTTTAAGAATGTATATGTATTTTTGTTTTACAGAAAGCATGAATACATTAGCAATACTTATCGTGCTTGCTGTGATGGTTACTCTAGCCTCTGCTCGCGGTTATGATACATATAATAGAAATCAAAGATCATGGGATTTGCTCGGATCTAGAGGTCTGAATAATGGATGGAATAGTAGAAATCTGGATAATGGATGGAATAGTGGTTGGAATGGCGGACATCTGACAGGGGGATTAAATGGCGGATATCGAAGTAATATTTTACAACCTTCATACCCTGTTATCGATACTGATTCCAAATCTTCATCATCACTGCTTCATTTACTACTGTTTTGGCTTGATCTTTACAATTTAATTTAAGTCCCCTTTTTCAAATGATTTATTTTTACCAACGAAAGTATTCTAGCACCTTTCGTATATCTAGTTTACATTCACATGAGTGTTCACTTTTATATACTATCGTTGTATCTGTATTCCCAATATACTCTGATTTAGATGTAAAGTCAATAAAAGAAATTTTACATATTATAATAAGATGAAAGTGCGTCAATAGGTTTATATTTAACATATATTTTTAAATCACCAATTTATCGTGACATTCTGAACTAAGACGAGGAATAATTCTAGAATAGATATAATAATTGTAATAAATTCTGTAGGACACAAAAGAGCAGCTACTGGATACGGCTCATATGATCCATACAGAAGCAGTCATTTTGACAGTGGATTAGGACGGTTGGACAGATGGGGAACAAATTCAGGAAGGAGATCTAATTTAGGATGGAGATCTAATTCAAGATGGAGTCAGCTAGGTAGGTTTCGATTATGCATCAGATTAAATGTTGTCAGCATCTCTGATCGTTAATTTATCTAATGATTGAGAAAATACAAAAACCAATCATTTAATCTTTAATTTAGGAAAGAGATCTAATTCTAATCATATCTGTGTAATACTGGAAATTTACCATTCGAGCTTTCGAACTATTTCTTTTTAAAGATATACATCCCATTTACTATCGAAAAGGTAGGTTTCGATATCAATCTGATTAAAGATTACAGTGGGTTTATTTTCATGTTCAGCAATATTAATCCTTTAAACAAAATTTTTATTCCAGTTTTTTAACTTTTTTTTAATAGTTTATACCGAAAGAATGACGAAAATGCCAAAAAAATAGAATGGAAGCAGGGGTTAAATTTATAATATTTGTGTATTTTATAGATTCATTATACTTTCAAATTAACTGGTAGTACTTTTATTTTACAGGATATTAAGAAAGACGAGGACACAAGGAGTACATTACAACATCTTAACATGACATCGATCATCCGTAGATTTTTACTTTTTCAAATAAAATGTGTGAACTTAATATGCATCTTTTTATTTTTTATAGTACTGCAAATGCATTTGTCACTACATATCTAGAAATTTGAATAAATTGCTGATCAAGGAAATATATATTCTTCTAGAAAAGGCACGCAAAAACAGTCTAAAACAAATTCAAATACACTAATTTATAACATAAATTGTTTTGTCAAAAGCGCTTTTCTCGATTTACCTTCAAAATCAACGCTCATAGCTAAAATACCTGAGAGCCAAAGATGTCTAACTAATTGATTAAGCTCACCATAAACACGCAAAAAGCTATATGATTAAACAAGGCCTAATATTATAACCAGATCAACTTTAACTGAGAAAGTTGGCACCTCCGTGTTTATAATAATTTCTTAATTTAATTGCAAACATATGTTACTGATCATGTATGTACCGAAGCAACGACTACTAGGCTGATGATACCAAGTTGATACTAACAGTCTACCAGCAGTGGTATCGATCTAATTCTAGAAAAATGAAAATAACGCTTTATAAGTTTGTTGCATCTAACGAGCTTTCCTATATAAGAAAGGCGAAAGATACCAAAGGGAAATTTAAGTCGAAAATGAACTGACAACGCCCGAGCTAAAAAAGAAAAACACTAAAAGGCAAAAAACAGAACACAAAACACAACATAGAGAACTAAAGGCTGAGCAACACGAACCCCACCAAAAACTGTGGGTGATACCAGGTGCTCCAAAAGAATATTAAATCTTGCTTCCCATGTGGCACCGGTTGTGTTGCTCATGTTAGTACAGCCTGGTTATAAGTCTAATTTGGTACGTCAAATTCGGGGAAAAGGGTTCGGGTTGTAGTAACGACATATGGAACATATCCGTTGTCATCTGTGAAACAGATACTTCATTACGGTCAATCAACTAATGATGGCGTCCGTTAAATTCACAAAGGGATGATTTCAATATTCATTCATTAGGAACACTTTAGCATCTGCTCGCAGTTATGATATTTACAATAGAAATAAAAAATCATGGGATTTGCTGGGATCTAAAGGTCTGAATAATGAATGGAAATAGTAGACATCTGACAGGAGGTTGGATTGGCGGACATCTAAAGGGGGACTAAATGGCAGAGGCAGAAGTAAAAGAGAGGCTAAGGATACCAAGAACATAAACTGACAACGTCATGGCTAAAAAAAGAAAAAGAAAAAGAAAACAGACAAACAACACTACACAAAACAACATAGAAAACCAAACACTGAACAACACGAACCCCACCAAAAAGTGGGGGTGATCTCGGGTGCTTCGGAATGATAAGCAGATCCTGCTCCATTTGTGGCACCCGTCGTATTGCCCATATAAGCGAGAGGTTAGGCTAGCCATAAAACCAGGTTTCTAAAAACGTCTGTATGTTGGCGTTTATTTTTGTTGCAGTTCAGTGTTTCTGTTCTTCCGTTGTTTTCCTCTTATAGTTGATGTGTTTCCCTCGGTTTTAGTTTGTAACCCGGATTTGTTTTCTCTTAATCGATTGATGACTTTTGAACAGCGGTATACTACTGTTGCCTTTATTCATGTAAGTACAAACACCGTGATATGACTAATTTGGTAGGTTAGTTAGGTCACATTCAGGGATTGTAATTACGACTATTAAAACATATCCATCGTTATCTGTGAAACAGATAAAATGAGATCTGATAAAAATATATTATTAAAACTCATTTAAATTACCACTTTTTCTACCATTTTTTAAATGATGTATGTATACCAACAAAAGATAAACTGTGTTACGAAAAAGTGTAGATATAGGACAGGGGAAATTAATTGATTTATATGGTCATGAGATTAAAATATTATTGAAAACTTTCACATTTGTTAGTTGGATACAGAAAGTACCGGTACCTTATTCCGGCCTCGTTAAACATTGTTAGTATTCTAAATTATAAAAAATATACACTATATTATTATGTATCCTTTATTTCCATATTGTTCAATAAGGAGAGAATTTTATTTCATAAAGAAAGAAAAGACAGAAGAGAAAATACTAAATAAATAAAAACAAAAACAAAATAAAACATAAAAAACAAAAACGATAAAACTAGAAAAAAAAATCACTGAAATTTGGATATTTGGCAGCAGTATTTTGGTCAAAACTAGCGTGTGTCTGTTATAGATAATGCATATTTTAAGGTTTTTCTTGTCGTAGAACACCGAGGGGTGTCAGGATTGATATTTCTTTGGGCAATCCTGACACCCCGAGGTGTGTTCTACAAGAAATCCCTTAAAATATGCATTATCTGACTTATATACTGTCAAAAATATATTATTTTCTACAAAGATTTGCAGAATTAGCATCCTATTTTACCGATCACACTAAAATGGGATATTCCTTTCTAATGCATTCAGGTTTTAATATGCCCTACGGCTAATTTAGAATATAAAATAAAACTCACTTAATTCATCTAGATATAAACCTCAGAAATCATTATTCAGGCACAATAACAATATTACTGTAACTGCACGAAGTAAGACACGAATGAATTGTTACCACCCGATAACGGTATATGAAAAATATAAGTCACTTTGTAAGTACACAGGTCATTATTTTATGCCTTGAAGCATATTTCATTGAAACATGGTATCGTCCGGATTGATTCTTCGAAAGAATAACCTATCGTTCTGAATGAAAATAACTCCATATAGGTATATAATAAGATATAATATTAAATAAATTTGGCAAAGTTGGTTCTCCATTGTAAAAATATTCATACAAACACAAAATAGATATTGAAAAACGTACATGTGGTTTTAGGCACAAAACAAGAACAAAAAACAATAAACAAACATATAACAATATATTATATAAAACAGATATTGTGGTGTGGAGAAGGCTAAAACAATATACACAGTAAAATAACATAGGGTAATGCTAATTTGTTAAGTGTAAATTATTCTAGTAATGGAAGCCAGGGGTCCCAGTAGAGGTTGACAATGTGAAGAGGCTTTGTTTTAAAATATATATTCTTTTCTAGTATTAGATTTTCTTTTTGATAATTTTTCAGCCCTGCAAACTGACTTGATTTTCACACAGTTTTGTTCTATAAATAAAGAATTTTGATAATAGTATTATTAATTTTTTTATTTTATCATTTTCTGTTTTTCCTAAATTTCTGAATAAAATTATATCCATGTTAAACGGAATAATTATGTGTGTTTGGTTATAAATCCAGTCACTGAGTCTTATCTACAGATCTGCTATTTCATGGCATGTCCAAAATATGTGTTCAATATCTTCGGTAACTTCATTGCAGAAAGTACAGTTATCGCTTTGTTTTATTTTTGTTTTAAATAAAAATGTATTTCTATCCAAGATTCTGTGTATTATTCTATACTGGAACCATTGAAGTTTTGAGCCTTTTGTGGCGTAAAAAGACATACTATGATATTTCAAAATTGGTGTTCAGTGTTAAGGACCATTTGTCTTCACAGGTAAGTTTAGTACTGTTTTTTTCTAATAGAACATTATACATATCTTTCGAGCCTTTTTTTTTATTATAAAAAACATAATATTATATTATTTGGAATAATTGGTCCTTGTGTTTTATTAGGATTGTTTATGGGTATATCTTTCTTGAGAGCTTTTTTATATGATTTTATTGATAAAATTACCCCATTATAAGTAAGAAAGTTTGATTTAAATGTTTTTTGAATTGTTGAAAAGTCATTAGTTTTCCCTCATCGTTTAATAGATCACAATCAGTTGAAAAGGCTCAACTCATCAGATCGATACAGAACAGAAAAAACATCAAACATAAACACACACTGGACGTGACAGGGTATATATTCATCCCTCATCCCTAACAAGAAAAAGGACACTAAGTACAGATCTGAGAGTACTCACAGTTACTGACAGATAGTTCAAAGCCAATAACAAATAATAAAAAAAATTGAAGCTAAGACTAAAATCAATCAGTACACATCCAACATCCAATGGATCTAGTGTAAAGACGTCATTAACGTTTATGCCTTCTTTTAAGACGATACAATATTTTGATGCTTTAAAAACGCACGTTAAATATAAACAATTGACATATTTTAATCTCATGACCATATGAATCAATTAATTTCCCCTTTCCTATATCTACACTTTTTCGTAATACAAATACGACGTACAGTTTATCTTTTGTTGATATACATACATCATTTAAAAAATGGTAGATAAAGTGTTAGTTTGAATGAGTTTTAGTAATATATTTTCATCAGATCTCACTTTATCTGTTTCACAGATGACGACGGATTATGTTCCAATTGTCGTAATTACAATCTCGTCCCAATTCCCCAAATGTGACCTACCGAATTAGACATATCACCAGCTTTGTACTTACATGAATAAAGGCAACAGTAGTATACCGCTGTTCAAAAGTCATAAATCGATTAGGGAATCACATCAACTATAAGAGGAAAATAACGGAACAACATAAACACTGAACAGCAACAAACATAAACGCCAACATACAGACATTTTAAGAAAAAATGGTGGTTTGAACCTGGTTTTATGGCTAGCTAAACCTCCCGCTTATATGGGCAACACGACGGATGCCACATAAGGAGCAGGATCTGCTTATCATTCAGAACCACCGAGATCACCTCCACTGTTTGGTGGGGTTCGTGTTGCTCAGTCTTTGGTTTTCTATGTTGTTTTGTGTAGTGTTGTTTGTCTGTTTGTCTTTTTCTTTTTGTAGCCATGCCGTTGTCAGTTTATGTTCGACTTAGGACTTTGAATATCCTTTTGGTATCCTTAGCCTCTCTTTTACTTCTGCCTCTGCCATTTAGTCCCCCCTCAGATGTCCGCCAATCAAGCCTCCTGTCAGATGTCTACTATTCCATTCATTTTTCAGACCTTTAGATCCCAGCAAATCCCATGATTTTTTATTTCTATTGCAAATTAAAGTGTTCCTAATGAATGAATATTGAAATCATCCCTTTGTGAATTTAACGGACGCCATCATTAGTTGGTTGACCGTTATAAAGTATCTGTTTCACAGATAACAACGGATATGTTCCATATGTCGTAACTACAACCCGTCCCCTTTTCCCCGAATTTTACCTACCAAATTAGACTTATAACCAGGCTGTACTAACATGAGCAACACAACCGATGACACATGGGAAGCAGGATATAATATTCTTTTGGAGCACCTGGTATCACCCACAGTTTTTGTTGGGGTTCGTGTTGCTCAGCCTTTCGTTCTCTGTGTTGTGTTTTGTGTTCTGTTATTTGTATGTTAGTGTTTCTCTTTTTTAGCCTTGGCGTTGTCAGTTCATTTTCGACTTAAACTTTTCTTTGGTATCTTTCGCCTTTCTTATACAGGAAAGCGCGTTAGATGCAACAAACTTATGAAGCGTTATTTTCATTTTTCTAGCACTAGATCGATACCACTGCTGGTAGATTGTTAGTCTCAACTTGGTATCATCAGCCTACTAGGCGTTGCTTCTGTACATACATGATCAGTAACATACGTTTGCAATTAAATTAAGAAATTATTATGAACACGGAGGTGCCAACTTTCTCAGTTAAAGTTGATCAGGTTATAATATTAGGCCTTGTTTAATCATATAGCTTTTTGCGTGTTTATGGTGAGCTTAATCAATTAGTTAGACATCTTTGACTCTCTAGTATTTTAGCTATGAGTGTTGATTTTGAAGGTAAATCCAGAAAAGCGCTTTTGACAAAACAATTTATGTTATAAATAAGTGTATATGAATTTTTTTTAGACTGTCTTTTCGTGCCTTTTCTAGATGAATATATATTTCCTTGATCAGCAATTTATTCAAATGTCTAGATATGTAGTGACAAATGCATTTGCAGTACTATAAAAAATAAAAAGATGCATATTAAGTTCACAAATTTTTATTTGAAAAAGTAAAAAATCTACGGATGGTCGATGTCATGTTTAGATGTTGTAATGTACTCCTTGTGTCGACGTCTTTCTTAATATCCTGTAAAATAAAAGTACTACCAGGTAATTTGAAAGTATAATGAATCTATATAATATACAAATATTATCAATAAAACCCCTGCTTCAATTTTATTTTGTTTACATTTTCGTCATTCTTTTGGTATAAACTATTAAAAAAAAAAGTTAGAAAAACTGGAATAAAAATTTTGTTAAAAGGCTTAATATTGCTGAACATGAAAATAAACCCACTGTAATCTTTAATCAGATTGATATCGAAACCTACCTTTTTGATAGTAAATGGGATGTATATCTTTAAAAAGAAATAGTTCGAAAGTTCGGATGTTAAATTTCCTGTATCATACAGATTTAACCAGAGTTAGATCTCTCTCTTAATAAAAGATTAAATGATTTTTTTTCCTCAATCATTAGGCAATGAGCGATCAGAGATGCTGATAACATTTAATCTGATGCATAATCGAAACCTACCTAGCTGACTCCATCTTGAATTAGATCTCCATCCTAAATTAGATCTCCTTCCTGAATTTGTTCCCCATCTGTCCAACCGTCCTAATCCACTGTCAAAATGACTGCTTCTGTATGGATCATATGAGCCGTATCCAGTAGCTGCTCTTTTGTGTCCTACAGAAGTTAGAACTATTGTTATATCTATTCTACAATTATTCCACGTCTTAAATTAAAATGTCACGATAAATTGGTGATTTAAAAATATATGTTAAATATAAACCTATTGACGCACTTTCATCTTATTATAATATGTAAAAGTTTCTTTTATTTACTTTACATCTAAATCAGAGTATATTGGGAATACAAATACAAAGATAGTATATAAAAGTGAACACTTATAGAATGAAATACTCATGTGAATGTAAACTAGATATACGAAAGGTGCTAGAATACTTTCGTTGGTAAAAATTAATCATTTGAAAAAGGGGACTTAAATTAAATTGTAAAGATTAAGCCAAAACAGTAGTAAATGAAGCAGTGATGATGAATATTTGTGAATCAGTATCGATAACAAGGTAAGAATGTTGTAAAATATTACTTCGATATCCGCCATTTAATCCTCCTGTCAGATGTCCGCCATTCCAACCACTATTCCATCCATTATTCAGATTTCTACTATTCCATCCATTATTCAGACCTCTAGATCCGAGCAAATCCCATGATCTTTGATTTCTATTATATGTATCATAACCGCGAGCAGAGGCTAAAGTAACCATCATAGCAAGCACGATAACTATTGCTAATGTATTCATGTTTTCTGTCAAAAAAAATACATATACATTCTTATATCAACTAGTTGATGATAAAAACAATTCCTTAAGTTGGTCAAGAATTTTGGCGAAGAAATATGATCAATATAAAATGTAAAAATAAAATTAAAATGGCTGCATTGGAAACAATAGTGTGCAAAAACTGTTGTCAAATATGTTTTTTAGAAAAACTATACAAATCTTTTTATATTTGGCACATTTATCTTCTACTCTATCAGGAAAAAACTAATCTGAGAAAACGCGTTAAAAAGTTGTAGTTGTTAGAGTAGATTTATAAAATAGATAAAATTAAAATAAATTGATAGCAATTCGACGATTTAGATTGATAATATTCACAATCAAATAATTTTTAAGGTAAAACACTCATACAATAGAAATAAAGCAGGTAGTTTTCATTCGATCAAAAACAAATTCAAATTAGATTTACAATCTTATTATATAGAAGTCATAGTTAGATTTAGAAAAATAAATTTTATAAACAACTTACATTTGTTTTCTTTTTTCTTGGATGTACTTGAATGGAAACTAAGACAAAAACAGATAGATAATACTAACATAGTATTTCTCTTTTATACTACTTTGATACAAGGAAATATAAATGGGGGAATAAAAGAAAACCCAAATCAGACAAATAAACTACGTAGGTTTTTTTATGAAACAATCAAAGGTTGTTAAGGTTACAACTATGACCAACATATCAATGTCACTCGCTCAACTAATTTAATGGTTACATCTGTCATTTACTATGTACAGGTTATCAGTATGCATTCAGGTCACTAATTATACATGATTATAAACAATTGCCAGTAATTAGAATTTAAAATTAGAAAGTAATACTAAACCTTCCAAGAATAATATGTAGAGTATGGCAATAATGTTGAAAGAACAAATTATCTATTCTTTTAATAATTTTGTATTCTGCTTAATTAAATACGGCGTATTCCTTGTCTAATTTGGCAACATTGTAAACGACTTGTTCTTTACTATATTTCATTTAAACAGCTAGATATTCATTAATAGAAAATCAAAAGAATGCAATTTCATTTAGATTTACGAAGTCAAAATCTAAAAAATGCGTTTATGTCTATACTATTAGAATGTAATAAAGTTAGAATTACTTTGTACAAACGTTCATCAATATTGCATAGATAATTATGTAATTGTTGTAATAGTTTTAATATTTATTTTAATTTAGTCCAGATGATGAATTGTCCAATTTGGGAAAAAGCAAATTACATGTGGGAAAAATCATACGGTTACTCCGAGAATAAAATACAATAGATCTTAATAAATCGAGATGCATAAGAAGTCACATTTACAAACAAACGAAGAAGAAATAATACTTTGTAATTCTTATCAGAACGCATCATCACTTTCAATACATACATATTTCGAAACGATCAACTTATCGGGACAAACGACCGCCATTTCGAATCAACACTTCTTTAAGCAGCTCTCTATTACTAGAATCCCAAAAGGAAACATGGTATTTGATGTTATGCATTTTTTTTTAATTTGGCTATAATATGTAGGTCGTTCGTACTATCTTTAGTTTTCTATAATATGCTTTGTTGACTGTTGTTTGTTTTTTGTTTTCTTTTTTTTCGTTTTTTGTTCTTGCTGTAGCATTGTCAATTTATTTTCGACTTCTGAATTTAATAATCCGTTTGGTATCTTTTTCCAAGCTCTTTTCCTTACATTTTCCGTAACATCATTTGAAATTATGAAGAAACTATGGTTCCAACACCATCATGCAAGCTTGACCGATGTTGGATTTATCTATAATCATTTTTTTGGTCATTGTTTTCCCATGTTTCAGTACTTTTACATCCTTGGTTTTCAAAATTTGGATTAGAAATTTCCTGATTAAAATATACCATAAAAAGCGCTTTGAACGCTTAACATTTTCATTCTCTTTAGCATTAGCACTGCAATTCCGCTGCCGGTGGACTGTTAAATCTTAAGGGTTTCATTCAGTCAGAAGTCAGAACAATTATTTAGATGTGGGATTATAAAATAAAAACCATACTTATTCTTGTCGCCGGTATAATGCATTCATTTTAGTCAGATCCATTTCAAATTTATAAAGTTTATACTCACCAAGACTTCTTATCAGTACACCAATTAGGAAATAAAAAATCAAAGACCAATTTTCTAGAGGGAGAAGTAAAATCACAAAAATACTGAACTCCGAGGAACATTCAAAACGGAAAGTCCCTAATCAAATGGCAAAATCAAATGATAAAACACATCAAACGAATGGACAACTGTCATATTCCTGACTTGGTACAGAGACTTATATGACGATTGCTTCTGATTGCTTGAATAGGGCATTCGGTTTTCGTGGCAATTCCATTTATACTTTTAATACTTGAACGGGGTGTGTGCTCATCAGAACCTTGCTTAATCTAAAATATCAGGAAATTCCCTCAATAAAGAACCTTTTATCTAGGAAACATTTAGTCCTTCTTTTTTATTGTTCACCTGATATTTAATAAGACTTGTATCTGGGTAATATACATGTTTTAATTATTTTATCAAATGCTCATTTCGAGCCTTTTTGGCAAAAATAGAAATAGAGAGGAACTGAAGGAACATAATTATAAAATTCATAATAAAACAACGAACCAACGTCTTTATCCTTTCTTGTCACCTGTATTTCAACACAAAGAAATAGCGTAACCTAATTGTAAGTTCAAAACGTCCCGTAGGAGCGGTTTCAATAGAATTCTATTGTAGATGTTGATGTACCTGCACCTGTGCATTTACGATTAACAATGATGATCTTGTTGTTTATAAACTGCTTAGTCAAGAATCACTTATCAAATTAAAAGCAACAGTATTTTTCCGAAATATATATATATATATAAATATGCATTAAGACAATACAAATAGCGTTTAACAAATCTGAAATAACCCACTGGGCCCGTATTTATAAAGCTATTTAAGATTAGATTATCTTAAGTGAACACTTAGTTAAGGTGAATTCTATAAAAACATCTGAAAGTAAGTTATTTCTAATCAAATTCAAGTTTAAGACACACCCACTAAAAGTAAGAGGTATGCAGAAAACCCCTGCAAACTAAGAAAACGCCTAGATTATACATAAGTATAAGTTACCTTAAACTTTTCAAAAATAGGTTTGGTTTGATATGAAAACTCCTTTTTGTTATTATGATGAAAGGAATGTGATTAAAAAATAAGTATATTTTTAATCGAAATAGATTTAGAAATAAATTATTTAATTAAACTTGATCCTATATCGTCAGAGTTAAAAAGAAATATATGGTTATCTCGAGAAAAAATGCACCCTCCGCCTTAGAGATGGACACTTATGATTTGCTGACATTTACCATTATTAAGATGGATTATTTGCTTCACAATAATGTTGAGCTTCCATTTAGCGACTCCTAATGTTATTGAAGTCTGGTTTGCTATTAAAACAATTGCTGGTGAATAATTTCGAAATATTTTTATATTTTACATTTATCACTCCATGCATTAGTTATCCCACTTCTTTTGGATCTTTTAAGAATATCTCCTGCACTTATAATTTCTCCATATGCGCCAAATTGTTTGGACACTTTAGTTGGTTAAGTTGAGTTTTTTAAACACCAAGATTAATTTAACCCCAGTTCTTAAGAAAAGTATACATTGTTTAATGTAAAAAATCATAACAAACTTTTGATACGGACGAGTATATGCTATGAGCTAACATATATCATACGATAATTAGAAAATGTTCCGGTTTCAGTATTCCATAGTTAAGTGAAGACTTGAGTAATTTTATTTATGTTCTAAATTCACTGTGTTCAAACGAACATAAAGTTTTATTGTGCTAAATCTCTCTAGATTTTTGTATAGCATACATATCTGAGCACATTCAGATATGTACCTTTATACGATAAAGGCATAATAGAAAACTAAATACATATTTAGGTACTGTTAGGCGCAATGACCATCTCAATTTTAATAAGATCCAGAGATCACAATATTTTATCAAACATAATTAACCGTTCATGTTTTGAATACGGAAACCATGCACATCTACGAAAAAAGTCCTTTATAAACATCACAAAATCTCAATTTCACAGTAATCAAACATCTACAAAATATATACGAAACATATCAATTCTTTACATACAACTTCAATACATTAAAAAAAACAGAATTCTTAATGAAAATTAGACTTCAATACAAAAGAAACGTACAACAATGGTCACTGCCCAAACCTCGATAATTAAATCTCATGCAAACTTTCTTTATACACTGACCGCCAAAACCGGTTTACAACTATTGTGAAAACACAAAAGAATAAATTATTGTACATATTTCAAAAATCATACGCGAACCGCACATAAATATATATATACGACTTTTTCTTAACTAAGGGAATTCTTAGTGAAATCTAAGTTTAAGTAACAATTAAATTGCATATTGTGTTATGTCTTATCGTTTGTGGTACATTTCACATATGTCTTATTTGTCAGTATAGTCGAGTTAATTTCCATTTTCCATGGATAAAGTACTGTGTTAGTCCAAATAATTATGACGTCGTCACAGCATTTATTTAATATAGCCTTTCAATACCGTCATAGTCATGATAATTGTTTGAACTAGTATTGTGAAAATAATTGTATGTATTTCAAGATTATATATTCGTTACAAAAATACGTCACTGTTTGTGATGTCCTGTGCTGTCGTTAATGGAAGATGTTCGTTGTTATTCTGCAGTTTACATGTTGTAACGACTATTATATTATTTGTTTGGGCGTTTTCTGTGCTGAGTGTTCTTGCGTTTGTTTGTGCTGTATTTCTGTCACGTAGTGTTGTCATTTTAGCGATATTTTTTAACATTGCCATATAAGCGGGAGGTTTGGCTAGCCATAAAACCAGGTTCAACCTACACTTTTTTCTTAAAATGTCCTGAACCAAGTCAGGAATACGGCAGTTGTTATCAAATAGTTCTTTTCTATGTATGTTGGCGTTTGTTTTTGTTGCACTTCAGTGTTTCTGTTGTTCCGTTGTTTTCCTCTTATAGTTGATGGGTTTCCCTCGGTTTTCGTTTGTAACCCGGATTTGTTTTCTCTCAATTGATTTATGACTTTTGAACAACGGTATACAACTGTTGCCTTTATTTACGTTAAGATGATTTATTCATAAGGGCCCTGGAGATTTTCAGCCGCAATTTTCTTATGTAGTGATATAAATTCATATACGTTAAATTTCAATCTGTGTACTGCAGATTTACGGATATTGTGTAAGTCACTCATGCCAATATATTTCACCATTATAAGTTTGTTGCATGAACATTAATAATATTTGTTATTGATTGATATTTGTAAAAGAAGCCTTCATGGTTATACTATCAACATCGATGAGCATAAATCTGTATGTTTTGCCTATCAAATTTTGTTGTTTATTCATCATTTCACATGCAAGCAATTTTGAAGACATAATGTGAAGAAAGGGGTATATAATCATGATGTTTTGCATTAAAAAATAAATGTTAAAATAACATTAACGGTACCAATTTTTCTGCACCAGATGCGCATTTCAACAATAAATGTCTCCTCAGTGATGCT